GACTCCACGTCTTGGAGTGGGGTGCCATTAAGAGAAACCACATTACTATTTGCCTGATTTATTCTCATTATCTTTGTCTTTCCTTTATGGATTTTCAGACCAAGCTGCTGTGATCTCGCATCAAGTATATTTAATTTATCCTGCATCTGATTCCTTGAATGGGACAGAAGAGCAATATCATCAGCGAAGTCCAGATCATCAAGCTGTTTTGTAGGGGTCCTATGAATTCCATTCTTGGTGTTAGCAGTTACTGTTTTCATAGTCCAGTCTATAGCCAGTAAAAATAAGAGAGGTGACAAAAGACATCCCTGTCGCACACCTGTTTTTATTTCAAATGCATCTGTGAGCTTTCCCTCATGAAGAACTCGACATTTCATGTCTTTATATGTTGCCTTTACTAAGTTGATAATTTTCTGTGGGATTCCATAGTGCCCCATCAATTTTCCCTATAAATGCTGTCAAATGCTTTTTCATAGTCTATAAATCCAATGTAAAGTGGTGTTCAGTTAAATTATTATAATACGTAATGTGGCTATCTGGTCAGTACAGGATCTGTTTGACCGAAAACCTGCCTGCTCATCTCTTGGCATTTTATCAATAGCATCTTTTAATCTTTCCAAAATAATTCTACTTAATATTTTTCCAGGAACTGACAGCAACATAATTCCTGTATAGTTTTTACACTCCTGTAGATAACCTTTTTTGGGCAGTTTCACAAGATATCCTTCTCTCCAGTCTGCTGGTACTTTACTGAATAATCTATGTAGCAATTCTGTTGATGTGTTTATGTTGGCCCTGATGGCTTCAGCTGGGATACCATAATGTATTAGGATACTTTATTATCTATAATTTTTTTTTTACCCACAATTTTATGCCTATGAGTTATTACCTATAATTTATTACCTATAATTTATTACCTATAATTATTTTGTTATAACGTATTACCTGTAATTTGAAACCTATAATTTATTAGCTATAATTTATTAGCTGTTATTTATTAGCTTTAATTTGTAAGCTTTAATATATTAGCTATAATTATTCCCAGTAATTTATTAGCTATAATTATTCCCAGTAATTAATTAGCTATAATAATTTCCATAAATTTATTAGCTACATTTAGCCAGTGATGTGATGCATTATGTGTTATATACTGAGTTCTCCACACTGAAACCTTTTGAACCTGATTTTTCCGGCTCTTTCGTCCAACCAGGACATTGATTCGCTTAAAAAATCTTTAGTGATGTCAGTGAAATCGTATGTTAGATACCGAGTTCTCAGTAGCTGCATTTTTTTACAATGTGATGAAATGTGTGTTAGAAACTGAGTTCTCAATATTGGAATATTTTACACGTTTTTTCCCTAGATCTTTCATCGGATGGAAATAATGAACCGGTTCAACAGAGCCAAGAGCAGACAAACCATCTGGCCAGTCCACATGAAGAACCATCAGGGGCAGATAACCAGCAGTCAGAATCCAAAAGAAACGGCTCACCGCAGAACATAGAGTATGTATCGCACAACACTGGCACATCCCGACTTCAGGTCAGGTCTTTTTCAGACACGGCAGAGAAGCGGACACCATCTCCTATCCAACAGCTCGATTCTGTTTTACTGTTTAACTCGTTTCCCCTGACACCTGACTCTAGCTCGATCATAACTCAAGATAGCACTGCTGCTGCTGCTGTTGCTGCTGCAACTCAAAAACAAACCTCGATAATACTTAAACCACCCAGCTCCATTTTAAATCTCAGCAGGCGGATTTCACCTACACAAAATAAAGGCGTTTCAATTATGACTCAGACACAGATTATAACACCCCAGAAAGAAGAGCCCAAAAGACTTCAGTTACTATCAGATCAAAGAGGTGATTCGCCGTCACCCAAACTATGGGGTTCCAGGGCTCCTTCTAAAAGACAAAATTCACCTAGGTTCCAAAAGCAAGCTTCGGCTTCCCCAGATAGACGTGTCTCGGTTACAACGCAGACAGAGACTTTGCCAACACCACACGGATCAGAGACCGACAAACACCATTCACCCTCTTACAGACGTGACGCCGAGAGACACCATTCACAAACAACCTTCAGGCGGGACTCCGGCGGGAACCATTCACCAAGATCTCACAGGCGTGGCTCGCCAACACCCCAGCGATGGGGCTCTAGAGCAACTGCCCCTGGCAGAACTCCGTCACCTTTACTACAAAGACGTAGATCTTCTTCGCTGAAACATAACAACGATCCAACGGGGTATCAGCAACGAGGTCCAGCACTACCGTCTTATGTCAATCTTCCACTCATCAATAAAAACAACAGCGAAAGCAAAACCACGACCCACAACACTCCGGCAGCGAGACGTAATAAACCTTCATTTAGAAGAGATCCGAACCCTACTTCTTTCACCAAGTCTGTTCCAGAACGTGACCCTCTAGCTCCTCCATTGCCGCCAAGGCCTAACAACAAGGGCAGATTATATGAAAATCAAAACGCCAACTCCCGAAATAAAGAGTCAGGTAAAGTATGCTTTTTGTTTTCATGGGAATGTCTGGTATTTATCTTTACTAGCTCTAATCGTGGGAATGTCTGGTATTCAGCTGTGTGTATCCATTTATTATTTTGTTCCTGTAGTTAACACCTCATGTGGCTATACTCATTTACTTTTACCCGCTCCAATCATAGGAATGTCTGGCATACATCTTTACTAGCTCCAATCATGGGAATGTCTGGCATACATCTTTACTAGCTCCAATCATGGGAATGTCTGGCATTCATCTTTACTAGCTCCAATCATGGGAATGTCTGGCGTTTACTTTTGCCTTAACAGACGACTAAGGCACGTTATGTGTGGAGTTGGCTGTCTTTGGTAGAAATACCAACCTAAGAGAAATCTAGCCAGCTAAAATAAAAATGGAGAGTATATCTCTAAAACAAAGGTTTTAAAATGTTTTTGACATTTTGCCCCCCCCCCCCCCTATTTCTTAATAGAGGGAATTACCAGCGAGCTCGTACATAATAAATAGGCTGTTTAGTAGAGTGCTCCTCCTCCTCTCTTTCTCTCTCTCTCTCTCTCTCTCTCTCTCTCTCTCTCTCTCTCTCTCTCTCTCTCTCTCTCTCTCTTTTTCCTTTTTATCCCTTTTTTAAAATTATCGTGGCTTACCACTGTTCGGCCACCCCACAGACAACCTTCGTGACTTCACAGACAGCCTCCGCGACCCCTTTTGGGATCGAGACCCATTAGTCGGGAACCCGTGCCCTAGAAGCATAAAGAGAACATGGAGAGACCTGCAGGATAATGAGAAAGATAGGACCATCAATAGGGATAATAACAGAGGAAGAAAATAAAAAGTACAATCGTCACTTGTCTAACTGTCAATAACTGCCTTTATTACCGCTTTTGCGGTGTAGGTGGGGGGGGGGGGGTCTTTGAGCATGAGGATTCACGGCCGCATGGCTGGTGCTGTCGCCATGACTGTGCAGGTGAGGATTTTATTTTGCTCACGACAGAAAAAAATCCCCAGCCTTACCGAGGATTCGAACACGGGTCTCCCGCTTGAGAGCCTAACGTTCCAACCGTTCGGCCAGACGTTCCTCCGCTTGTCGAAGCATGTGAGTATATTTTTGTCTCATTGTGTCTGTCTGGTGTGTTTGAGTATCATTTCCTTATATTATTTAATCCCTACAGGAAACAATATCAAGAAAACTTTACACGAGGAACTCGTGGACAGAATGCGGCGACGGCGCTCCTTCGAGTCACAGAAAAACAGACAAGCGAAGCAGACAAAGGAAGTCTTGTTTATTGATAAGTACTCCACAGCCGAGGAGGTCAGCGAGTGGATGAAGACCAAAGGATTCAGCGATCTGTAAGTAAATGTGTCTACTAATTTATGTTCCAGGCATTGGGAATTTCAGTCAGACATGTCAGAGACATAGCCACAGCAGTCTGGGTGCTTAAGCACCCCCCCCCCACCCCCCCCCCCCCGTCCGTTTTCCCTCTTTGCACCACATATAGACATACTGCCCACACCACTTTTTTCTAGCAGCACATATAGACATGGGGAGTCGCCGTGGTCGAGCGGCTAGACGCTCGCCGCGGATCGGAAGGTCGTGGGTTCGCTCCCTGGCGGAGCCGAACTTTTTTCAAAAATGACCTTGGCTCCCAGGTCGACACAGCCTTGAGTGGATACTGGGGTCAGTCCCGGGAAAGTGAAGGCGGCCAGCGTGATACTGACCACATCACACATCTTGTACCGATTGGTCTATAAAAATATAGGTCTAGCCCTATATCCCCTAAAGGCCTTAAGGCGTGGGAAAGGGTCCTTTACTTTTTTTTTAACATATGACATTCTGCACCACCCCCCCCCCCCCCACTCCTCCTCTCCTGTTTTGCAGCAAATATAGACATACTACCCACACCCCCGCCGAGTATATTTGCACATTTTATATTATTTTTAATATTTTACTGTTTTACATTCGCCACATACTAATAATTATTATTATTGCCCATTGAAACAAGGCTTAAGCTTTTAAACCCCCCTCCCCCCTGGCCTCCCCTTTTTTCAATAATTGTTTAAGGGCGTCGGGTGTTACCTCAAGCATACTTCTACAGAGATATGATCATCTGGAAATATTCCGAGTTGATCTTCTACTTTGCGTTCACCAGCTGTAACCTGGGAGAAACAGTTTTGGTTATTTGTCCACCTTATGACTTTCCAGAACATGAGTATTGCGTGCAGAACCATTTTACAGACATGACTTAGTTGTGTGCAGATTGTTAGTTCTTTGCTTCTCCTGCAGATGCATTCCGAATTTGAAGAAGCCCCTCAACTAGTAGACTTTTACGACATGCTTGTTGAGGAGGCCGTGGGTCCATTCTTGTTTTGCCAGTTCTTGATTCATCCATTCATTGTCTTAAAACTAGGTGACTGTATACTGACACGTGTTTGTAATGCTATGCTCTGCTATATCCTTTTAAGCCTTCATATTTGTACGTCATTGGGAATTTTTCAGAGCTCAAGAAACATACCAAGATTACACAGGTTCTGATATGTTCCAGCTGACTCTTGCTGAAATGGAAGAGGAGCTCGGACACGAGGAAGCCATTCGATTGGACGGACAACTGACACTGCAGAAAAGCTCTAGCGGGGTAAGATCCTACTGGTGAATCTGTTCTTTGGAGGGCATACATAATGGAAGAATAAAGGGGTGGAGGCGGAGGGCTGTTGTGAATCACAACTGTGCGAATTTCATAATTTGTCCTTCTTCTTCTAGTCCTCTTTTCTCTTCCCCTCCTCCTCCTTCTTCTCAGTGGCCTTATTGAAGTATTTTAATGCTGAATTAGGAATCGACATCAAAGCACTCGAGATACTCCCATAAGCGCGCTGTCTCCATCAGCAGCTGCATGCGAAGAATTCTAATTCCCATGGCACCAGTAATTGTCTGATTGTATATCTGCCTCGCCTTACCCTTGAGTTGAAGTGTTTGGGGGAGATGTCAGAATCGTCAGTGAAGTTGTATGTTAAGCTTCATATTTTGAAATTTTTTCTTTATACCATCTTTTGCGTAGTATTTCTCTTGCGCTGTCTTCGTTGTATTTCTTCAGAATGAATCTCTATGGTTGTTGATACCAGGGCATTCTGATCAGGTGGTCAAGCAATCTCATCTTTTGCCCCTGAGTACATCGTAGACTAGTTCCAATCTTAGTCTTCCTCTAATATCTTTATTTTAAATGTACCTTCCCGTGTTACCCCGGCAACTCTCCTGAGACGTCGTATCTCTGTAGTTATGATTTTCCGCTCAGAAATTGAATTAAACCAGGTCGACCCAATATTAAAGGCGTAGCAGGAAAGTCCTGGGAAGTAAAGGTGGTCGACTTGATACTTACCACATCAGCCACTGTGTGCTGATTGGTCTATATAAATGTAGTTTTAGCCCTCTATGCCTAATATGCCTAATATGCCTAAAGGCGAGGAAAGGGTCCTTAACTTTACTCAGTTGTAGTAAATGTCTATATTTGACACTGTGACTAATTAGGGACTTCCTTCGAAGTCGGAGTGCATCTACCTGAGCGGCAAGGAACAACAAACTGCACACAAATAGGCCAGTAAAACGGAAGTGCACACAAAACTCAGGCACAGACACAAAGCCAAAGTCTAAATGGACGAACAACTAGGAGTAGAATGAACAATCGACGCTCACACACTTGTCGAAATCAACGCAAAGCCATCTGCTGTCATAGAAGTGGCAGAAGCTTAATCGAACCCTATGTATCGGAATTATGAAACTGTATATTCAAAAACCCTAAACCACAGACACCAGATGGACCTCCCCAGACACTGGGAAATATCCCAGACAATAAACTAAACCATCCTATGTTTCTTTTTCTTCTGTGTTCACCGGCTGTAAGCTCTGGCGGAAAGTCCTGGCTACTCGCTCATTTAGACTTTGGATGTGAGCCAGGACCTGAGCTTTTGTACATCCTTGTTACTGGTTCACTTTAAAAGCATTTGGTTGTTTCTTGCCGCTCGGGCAGATGCACTCCGACTTAGAAAGGAAGTCCCCAGTTAGTCGACTCCTGTGACATGCTTGTTGGGAAGGCAGTGAGTATATTCTTGTTTTCCCCACAATGCAGCCCTGGAATCCACACCGGAATAATATAGTGTCGAGTTGAGCTGAGGAAAGAAATGCCATCATAGCTCTCGGAATATTCCCATAAACCCTCGTCCCCTCCAAAGAGTTCCAATTCCCATGGTGCCTGCAGCAATCTGATTGCATGTCCGTCTTGTCCCTTCCCTCCTCCCCCTCTCCCCGGGCCGTTGGTATAGCTCAGATCCCCTGGTCCCTGCCCCCCCCTCTCCCCAACCTCGGGCTGCATATGCAAGTATCGTCAGTTTGAGATATTCTCATTTGTGCCTCCGCGCTTTTTGCAATGCAATGTTTATGTGTCTTCATTGTTTACATACTAATACTGGAGTGTACGTAAGGTGACAGTGTTGTTTTGAGCTGAATACGGGACATTCTACAAACATTTTGAGCTGAAATCGAGACATCCTGAGCAGGTAAGTTAAACAGCACTCCCCTCCACCTTTATTATTTTCACTTGGCCACCTAGTGTTAGTTATTCTCTCTACAAAGGTATTAGACCCAGTCTGCTACTACGTTCCCTTGTGGGATGCAATTTTGTGTTATTTTGAAGCCCCATCCTGGGTGTTGCAGGGGCGGGTGGCACTAATATATCCTGATGGTTCAACGGGATTTCTGAGAGGGGTGGCCCTCATTTGCATGGTGGCACTTTGTCTACTCAACAACAAAACGGGATTGCCCCTGTGAAAACGGGACATATTGTCACCCTAAGTATACTGTATAATAGCTAGTGATACTGACGTGTATTAAGATAATGATTATGGTTTATTCAAAGTATACAACAAGAGCAGCGCAAGAATTACAGGAGATTTTGCGCAGACGGAAGCAAGACTGTGAGCCGGACAAACAAGATGATGACGACGTGGGACCACGTGACGACGGAGTTGGAATTTGTACCGACTGAGGATCATAAACAGAACGGTCAATGGCGTTTCGAGTTGTCATTAATTGTAACAAAGGTGTATTTTTTAGGCTGGTAAACTATATCTTTTTTCTTCTGACTTGTTAACCCCCCAGTGAAGCATAGGCCAAAAATTAACTCACGCTAGTTCGTTCTATCCTTCGCTATCGCACGCAGCTGTCCCTTTGTCCTCTCCATTTTAAAACTTTCACTCTCTGGATCCCTTCTCTATGTTTTTTTTTCTTCCTTTATTTCTATGCCCCGGTGGATTCCAGTGAAAAGACACTAGTTATATTATTCTCAGATTTTCTCAATATGTGTCCTATCCAAAGCCAGCGAATTTTCTTCATCTCTTATCCACTGGAACTTGTTTAGTTCTCTTCCAAAGCTTTACATTAGTGATTATATCATACCATTTAAGTACCTCCATTCTGCGAAGGCACCAGTTAATAAATGTTTGTAGTTGATCATTATTGTTTTAATTGGTCTCCATGTTTCTGCGTCATACAACTGTATTGATTTGACATAAGAATTAAAAATTTCAAATTTGGTATTAGTTTAAATTGATTTTGGGGACCTTCACAAATTCCACAGTGCTGTGAAAGCTCCTCTTGCCTTTTGTATTCGTATTTTAATATTTATGTCACCCCCCTCCCCCTTCTTCATCTCCATTGATGCCCAAATAAACTATATACTGATGTTTTCATTGAATTGACTCGTGGATCAAAGCTTCATAGCAACGGATTATTACAAACTTGCTTTGTTCTTGTGCCAGTGACACCTATTCAAAATGCTCACCATTGTCCCCTGTAAAAAAAAAAAAACAAGCAGCAATCCCAACAAGTCAAGCTGTGCACACATGCGTTAAATGCATAAGGCATCCACCAGAGTGCCAACACCAACAGTCCTTCACTAGAACTGCAGTTCATCGTCGAAGAAAGCAGCAGTCAGTGCCGTGTGGCGTAGGTAGTCATGGCCATCCAGGATATTTTTGTCTCCAGTACTTTAAATTATTCATGACAGGGACGGTCATCCATGCCATGATGATAACTGTCAAACATCTTGTCCAAGAGACATGATGTTGGATAGTTTGTATCATGAATCTCTTGTCTCTCTTCCCCTCCAACTTTCACTTTATTGTGAGCTACTCTAGTTTCTAGCTTTCTCATTGCGTCACCCAAAAGTATATAACAATATTAGCGGAATTGTGAGTCTCGTGTTGCAAACACCGTATTGAAACTAGAGGACTACATATAACTACAAATAGTTAAAGGTTAAATTCGAGAGGGTCGAATTCATTGCACCTTGGTTTTATCCCATACGGCTTAGTCTCTCTCCGCAGAACGACTAGCCGCCTACCAAGAGCATCGCACAGAGCACGAACTCCGTACTGACGGTTTGAAACGATGGCATCGGAGGAATCTCATCAGTGGAATTCATTCCGAATATCAAGGACTGGGATTTGTGGAGAGACATGAGCGCCTACGCCATCTGGCAGGGCACATGATGATGGTAATTAGTTAGTTAGTCTTTCATCTTCAGCCTAGTGCGGCGTATAGGGCAGAGGTCATAGCTCTCCCTGTCTGGCGGTTCTTTGCCACCTGTTTTAGGTCTTGGATGTTTGTTAGGCTCATGGTTGAGCCTTTGCTGATGATGGTTCTACGCAGGATCTCACTTGGTCTTTTCCGATTTCTTTTCCATTCCAGTCTGGCAGTCTGGTAGTCTGGTAGTCTTAGTTTCAGCTTCATGGCAAACGGGTCACCCCATCTTTGCTCCGCTCCTGTGCCAACGAAAAACACGCACAATGTTTATCACAGTCCCTTGTGGAAAGATTGACAGACTGCTGTCTCAGCATATCTAGTATACACCTGCATTAAAGCATACTGTAGCCATCCGAAGTGCAAACACAAACCGTCCAACATTAGAAATGCAGTTCATCATTGATGATAGCAGAACTTGTCGCCAACAGATCAGCAGTTGCCCACGCGATCAATTTAATCACATACGGGCACCACCAACATTGCATGACAGGCATCGCGCCATTTTCTGAATCTACAATTCACACAACCACGTTGGTCACAGTTTTAAAAAAAAACATTCCAAATGCAACCCGCAGCTCACAGTGTCACGCCATGCATTCAACTCAAAAGCTGGGCGACGAAACTATATCCAGTCTACAAATGGAGCAAAAATGCCCTGGCCACCGTCCGGCAGAAGCAAAAAATTTGCCTCTGGAAGTCAGTTCACTGGAAGTCCATTTCAGTGTCCATGTAAGGGCTTGATGGGATAGTCTGGTCTTATCCAATTTGAGTGCATGGCCGATGTAGTTCCAGCGGCGCTTTCTTATAAAATTTGATACATTGTCCTGCTTGGTCTCTTGTCTTATTTGCGTATTGGATCTTAAATCTGTCCTGCGAAGATTTTGTATTTTTCTTCTAAGACATTTGTGATGATAATTAGTGAAAGAGTTATTAATGCTTCTTCAAATGCTTCTTCGGGTGTGTTTCATAGCAATTAATTTCATGTATTTGTTCGTCTAACTCAATCCAAGAATATGGAGACAAGATTTTTGAAGGGCAAAATAGGAATATTCATTCACCATCATTATCAAATCCTTCCTTACATCTTGCCATCTCTAACAGCGAGTCTCAACTCGTTTGTTGACATCTATCTATGTCGTTATACCAGGCTGTTAAGAATGTTCTCTAGTTATCCTTCCCTCCCCCTGTGTGGGATCCATGGCCCTATTTTGGGGACAAACGAATATACTTACTGCCCCACAACCATCATCTCGTAAACGGCGATTAATTATGAGTGTTTCCTTGGGAGCTGGAGTGCATCTGCCTGTGAGATGAAGAACCAACAGTCTGCATATTGTTAAGCTAGACCTGTATAATGAACGTGACAGGCAAACTCAGGTTCCGGAACAAGACTAAAGTCCAGAAATGGACGAACAAATAGAACTTTTCGCCAGAGTTTACAACCGGTGAACGCAAAGAATGAGTCTTCCCCTATCTTTCTTTTCATAAATCGTTTCTTATGTCAAAGAATTTTCCAGATTTACTCTTTCCCTAAAGTGCTAAATAAAAACTGTTGCTCTTTAAGATTTTATGATTAACTCTCTGAATCCTAGTGGGTTTAGCATCATAGGCACAAGTGGTAGTAAAGAGAGATATACTATCGACGCATCATGCGTTAATTGGGCTTCAAGGTAGGACCTATGAACGTGTAATGCGATCTTTGGAACTCAAAGAGTCAAGTCGTATTGTACCACAGATGCTTTCACTAAATTTAGGTTACTCATTTTTGTTGTACACAGACTAACATTTATTTTCAAAAATGTATATCACTCAGAATTCATGCAGTATTAATGTATGTTTTAAAGTTCTTAGAAGAACTATGAATAAAATTTATACAATGAGAGCATCAGATTGTGTTTACTTTTGCTTAAAACTGTGGAGCCGTCGTAGTGGTGCAGTGGCTAAACGTTTGCCTGCAGCCCCGGAATTCGTGGTTTTATAACCAAATCATAGTAGATTTAAAAAATAAATAAACTCATGTCAATTTAGCCATAAATAGTTGCTAGGAGATATCATGGAAAGTAATGCGGCCAGTGTGTTATTGACTTCATCAACCAGTGAAAGACACATCAGGAGGAGACAATCGACATTCTTTGCTCATGTCATGAGAAGGAGAAAACTGGAGTGCATCCTGGCGGTGGGAAAGTTGGAGGAAAAATGAGGCAGAGGAAAACAGAGAGAGAAGCTGCTGGACAGTTTGACATGGGTACATGGATGATCATCTGTGTCAGAACTGACGGAAAGTACACCAGACAAATGGTTGGGGAGAGAGACACGACTACCAACGATGACCGTGCTTTGCACGCAAGCCGAACAGAAAACCCACGCAGAGATAGCGGCATTGGGATACTCGGAGATGAACGAGAAAAAGCCCGAGATTGGCTCTTGTTCATTTTGGTACCAGAGTTCGAGGAAGATGGTTGTGATTAAATGTACTAAACATCGTGTTAATGATCACTGTAGGATTCTTGTGAAAGCGAGCAGCTATGGCTATGACCTAATAAACGGTGACTGAATAGAGTGTGAGAATCGGGACGATTAAACTGGCAGAATTAAAATCGAAATCTTAGCGCCGTTCTGCGTTATTTATTGTAGATGGTTGTGTTTGTTCCCAAGTTGGTAGCTGTGCACGTGTGCAGCAGTGGTAGCTAGAATGTAGAAACCCTAGACTGGAAGCCAGGATAGAAACTAGCAATACTGAAAGCAGCCAGCATTATTACAAGCGCCTTTCGACATGGACTTCTTCTTCGTCTTCTTCTTGTGTCGTCTCACTGTTACAGGGTTGTGGCCCAGTGCCGTGGTTTTCTGCATTTGTCTTGCGCTTCTCGGATGGCTTTGCAAGCGCAAGACAAATGCAAAAAAAAAAAAAAAAAACTAGGCTTTACTAGGCTACAACCTGGTGTCAGGCATGGACTATCCGAAGAGAACAAATGTTGGATGTGACTGTTATGTGTGTCTAGCAGCAATCCATCTCGCCAGTCGCTTGATTGAAAGCCATTGTGCATGAAAAATATATCAAACCAAACTAAAAATGTAACTAGTCAGCTTTCCAATATTACAGTCACAAACGACAAAAAAACGTCGCGGCTAGAAAGTCTATATCAATATTTGACATGAATACACAATGTTAGATTTACAAACACGAAAACACAAAACATTTTCCTCCCCCCGACATAACGGTAGAAGTGGTGTATGAGGATGATGATGATGAATACACAAAAATCACTTAACGAAGGTATCTCAACGAAAAAACTACTGCCTGGTCAGTTGAAGCTCATTATAACCAGAAGTTGACCGTACACAGGTAGGTAGGTAAGTTGTACCCCACCAGGACATCACACAAGCAATAAACACCC